ACCTGGAGTTTCATTCTGCACTGATCTTCCGTGTTAGTGCGAAAGAATTTTGCTTACACAGTACACACTTTTATAATATGTATATTGGTACGTTTAGAAATCTATTTTCATTTCATTTCAGTAATACAGATCATTTATCAATTAAATAAAAACCCACAAAATTTTATTTTGCGAATTAAATTTATTTATGATAACCATTAAAAATTAGAAAAATCCAAGCGGATTCATAAACCTCAAGTTTAGGAGTATTTTTTTTATACTCTGGGAGTTATGAAACCTCGAGAAAACATGAAAATAGCCATACACCGGATAGGCTATTACCACATTTCCCTAGGTTACGTTCGGGAAGTAAAAAAATCTAAAGAAAATTGGAGTTTTACTTTGTTGCAAATATTTTGATATAAACTGAAACTTGAAGGATAGTCGAACAAATACAGCTTCGAAAAATTATAAAATTTAATTTTGCGATTTTTGTATGTATCTAAACAAGATGGTTTAAACAATAATGAATAAAATGATGGTAGAATCATAAATCACAAGTATAGGTGTATGTTATTTTCTAAAAGTTTAATAGCTTTCGTTCAATCATCTACACGATATTGCTATAATATATAAAATTTGATGACAATAGGTACACTAGTTTCGGAAATTATCTGTCTAATCATAGTCAACACCGACGATAGACAGACAGACAACAGACGGAAACGGAAAACCACTAAAAATAATTAATTAAATTTTTTTGAAAAAAAAAAAAAACACCTCAATTTAAATCACAATTTTAATCCGACCATTCCTGATTTTGACTACTAGTGGTAAATGTTAATCCATTTATTTTCAATTACATTTATAATGCTCATAAATAGTTGATTTTCGCAACGTTCCACACCTTCTAAGTAAGTATGAATTTCTGTTTGTTAATGGCGATTTTACTGAAGAAGTAATTTTCAAAACTACGAACAAATTATGGTGAAATTCTAGGTTTACTTTTGGATTACCGTGTACATGCTAAATCAGTAACAAAAGTTCGTTCTTCTCTATCAAAAACTTGATGACGTCTTCCAAAAACCTTTACCAGTGAAACTCTATTTAAAATCGACAAAATAATATGCTTCTGTGCTTGTCGTTTATTAATTCAATCTTACCTTTGGGCATACACAAATTGGTTTTTGGAAAACAAAATTGTAGAATATTTTAGTATTTATACTAAGAAATGCAAATCTGAATCCTACTTGTGAAATTTATTTCCAGAATTGCTCGTATAGTTTTGGAAATTTCATTCTACTCTATAAAATTTTATTGGCAATACCGAGACGGACAATAGTACAGTAGCAAGAGATATTTACCATTTAAAGTTTCGCGTGCCGGTTATCCCCAGATGTTAGAAATGACCATTATTTTATGAGTACAACTACCTGCTAAATGTTTTCCGACAAATTCGGGTGAATTGGTGTGAGCCATAAATATTTCTTACGACTATAATACTGTCCATCTCGTTATTGTCTATAAAATTTTGTTTAAAAAGATCGGCCGAAATTTATTTATTTATTATAGAACTGGATTTTGCGACTTTGTTTTGTGATAACCTCTATAAAGTAAGTAAAAAACAAACGGCATAAATAACACAATTCCAAGGGGACGCCGCACAAGTACGGACAATGTAAAATATATTTATAAAGCAGATAACCGACGGGAAAAATGATCTCTCAGTACGCTTAACTTCGAGTGTTTAAGTTTATACATGGAAAGAATGTCACGTAGACATTTACTTGATCCGAATGAAAACAGAGGACTAAAATTATTAATTAAACCACAATCGAAAAAAATGTACTGAATATTATTTTATAGCTCTTATTTTATCACTTTTAAATAAAGACGTGCGTACTTTCACATTTACGTGAAAATGGGGTGATTCGTACTTAATATGATTAACAAAAAAAAAAATGTGGTGAAGTCATTAACATGGATAATACTCATGATGATAATACTAGTCACAGCTCGATGAAAAAAAACACCAAAGGCTCAAGACTATGGCCCAGTGGCGTAACTACCGGTGTTCCATGTGTTCGCCGGAACACGGGCCCGCTGCTTCAAGGGGCCCGGTCCGGTCACGCGAACATTTTTTTTATTAGATTTTTTTATATAATTGCCCAAATTACATCCCGAAATAAAAAATTCGAAAATGTGTGGTAATCCCATTGCTTTTTACAAATTTTTTGCTGCAAAGGGCTGGACTTTTGGCGGCATCTCAATATCATAGACTCAATAAGTTCGGGTTTTAGCGACCGGCACCGGTGGTCAAAAATGCAGCAGCATCTGTTTCTAATAAACCTGTCGCAGTGTCGCAATCCCATTGTGGCAAACCTAACACCCCATGTAGTAAATTACCAATCTTTATCCGACGAAAGTACGAGTAAAGCTGAAGAGTTTGTTTGGTTGAATGCGCTAATCTCAGAAACTACTGGTTCGAATTCAAAAAATCTGTTTGTGTTGGATAGTCCATTTATCGAGGAAGATTATAGGCTATATAACATTACGCTACGATAAATAGGAGTGAAGCAGCAATGAAAAATATCGGAAAAACGGGAAAATTATTCCTCTTTTGACAGCTTCTGTTGCTTATGCTGCTTAAACGGTTAAAATTACATAAAAATCATGTATGATGGAATTGTTCCCTTCTAAAAGTTCTAAAAAAAAGTCTGCGACAGCATATGTCTATTTTTTAAGGTCGACTCACTATAACCATATTTATGGTAATGAAATTTGTTCTAAAATAATCTAATATAAAATTCTTGTGTCACAGTGTTTGTAACCAAACTCCTCCGAAACGGCTTGACCGATTTTTATGAAATTTTTTGTGTATATTCGGTAGGTCTAGTAAGGGTGGCCCACTAATTTTTTTTTTTATTTTTAAGACAACATTTTTTATTTTAATTTTTTTAAGATTTGGCATCAAAAAATACATATAACTCTAAATTTTCACCTTTCTACCACCAACCCCCATTTTTTAATAACGATATGAGTATCTTTGCTTTCATCCACAGATGTGCAATAGGGTTGCAAGATGGCTATTGAATATAATCATTGTCGTACCATAAATTTTTATGTATAATTTATAATTTAATTTAATTATAATATATATGTATTTATTTTAATTTAATTTTTTATTTAACTACCAAAATATTCACTAGAAATGCCAAAACAACGTTTGCCGGGTCGGCTAGTTTCTAATATGTATAATTGTATATATTTTAATTACTATATGTATTCAGGTAATTATTGTATTTTGTTTTTTTAGTTCAATGTTTCAGGTAGAATGATTTTAATAAAACGTAAGCCCTAATTGCAGTCTACTCATACTTTACTCATTATACTCGTATTTTTAAATATTTTTATTTCGCTGTTCATTAGGGGCCCCACAGTGTTGTAGAACACAGGCCCCCACTTCGATTGTTACGCCACTGCTATGGCCGGTTATATCGTCAGTTCGTGGTAAAATGTTAGTATACTGTTAATTTTTTTTTGCGAAAATTTGGAGGTTTAGGGAAAACTCAAAGCGGATTCGTACACCACAAGTACATATAGGAAAATATTGTTGTATAACATTTAATTCGTTTTAAAAGAGAATTCTTTGAAATAACGTTATCAAATTGTAAGTGGCAATGATTAGCCAAATTTTGGGAACACGGTACTGTTGTTTTTAAGTGTTACACTATATATCACCACAAAAATTTGGTAATTGTAGAATCAAATTAAAATTCGATAAATTATTATGCATAAATAATTAAATAATTTATTTTTGATGGTGCTTCGGAGTTGAGGGAAGTTCAGTATAAATAACGTTTATTGCTGTAAACGTTCTGCTGACAGATAATTTATCGTAACTTTTTTAACGATAGCCCAGAAAAATATTTCAATTTTCTCTATTTTTTTTTGTAGAAAAATAATAATAAACTTGTCCTCATCCTCGATGTTGTCTCGAACTATTATTACGAATCTGACATGTGCAATACGATATGTACAAATAATTTACTCGTTTTATCTCAAAAATTGCATGCACAACTTCTTGGAAATTTTGGTACAACTCTAACATTTATTTATTTGAAAATTACACAACATTAACTAAACTTATTTACTCATTCCTTCCATAAAACTGACGACGTCATCAAATATGTCGTAACATGTGATATGACTTCTATATGTACGTACATATACTTTCACAGTTTTCACAGTTGTATATTATTTTTTTAAACTGATTAAACAGAATGTGGCCTAAATGAATGTATGAAGTGATTTATTTTATCAATTACACATTATCAAAAAGCTAACATCATCAAAGAAAAACACATGTTTACTGAACAATATTTTCCCCAAGAATAAGTATGTACAAATTTATAATTTTACCAATTAATTTTTAAAACTATATTAGATGCACAAATTAATTTTTAAGTCTGAAGGAAAAAAACCTAGCATGGATGACTAGCAACCTTTTACAAAAACATTCACTCTTTTGGGTGGCGTCATCAATCTTTTGGTGAAGATAACAATGGTCGTAGCAGGTACAAAACTAAAATTGGTGTTCAGGTAGCATCTGGTAACAATTGAAAAACTTTCACAAAATCTAATTTGGAAGCAATTAAAACACAAAAACAAAAAATGGTTCCAGGGAATAACTCAAAAAAAACCGGTTTATATTTTACAGGGGTGCTATGGAATTACATATTCGAAAATTAAACTGTGACATATGCTAATCCACACTTTTGAATACAAACCCTCAACCTCGCTAGCTAACAACTACAAATAATAAATTATCTTGTGGACAGTTGGGTTTTTTAGCCCCGTCATTTAAATAAAAATATATAGAAAACACTTCCCCTTGCCCTTTGTCTTCCCTCACACATCCCAGCCGATGACTAATCCCAATAACACATCCCCTCAAGAACAAACGAATTGCATAACAGACACTTCCGACTAACAATTCGATTTAAATAAAAGCCACTTACCAAAAAGGACTAGTAGGGGACGGAATAATCAAAGGCCTCGACGGAGGACTGTGAAATCCACTAAGATTCAAAAACGACATATTTACATTACACTCAACCCTCAACCAAAAAATATGAGCACTACCACCAGCGTCCACAAAAATGCATCCGTTTACGGGGGCATTTTCACCTTCACGTCCCCGGGTCAATCAAGATCTGCGTCCCGTATTTAAAAAAAAATGCAAGATGAATAGAAACTGCGATACGAAACGAAAAGTTCGTCGTAGTCACAACAAACCGGCGCACTTTTGCCACCTCTCCGACTACGTTTCCGTTCTCCACTGAAATGCCGGGATTCGCCAGACGCAGCTTCAGGCCGTGGAAGGACCATGCGTGCGCTTGCAAGTTCCGACACACTGTTGAGCAGACGGCGTTTTGAAGGCGATGCGCATGATAGAGATGCATTTATTACGGAAGGATGTCTTGGTGTGCAAGTTTTGGTTCAACGTGTATCGATTCGGTGGAGAAGAAAGGAAACACGTGGGCGAGTTTAGATAATAGGGCTGAACATCCAAAAAAATTGGCTTGCCCATACATGTTTTTTTTTTTTTTTAAATATAGAGTTCATAAATTTGTGCAATGATTTTTGCTGGGGATAAATGTATTAATTTTGATAAGTCACTATAAACTATAACACTGAATAAAGAAGTGTTTGTAGCCCTAGATTTTCATAAACTTCGCTTTTAAAAACATAAAAATTGGTGTTGATTTTTTTATATATGGTAACTTTTTACTTATCGAGTACAGTCCGGGAAATAGTGAACATTGACTTTCTGTTTCCAAAATTGTTTATTGGAGCCGTCAATAAACTGCTCAGTGTTATAATAGGGACGATTTACAACGCTTGCCTTCTTTTGGGTTGTTTGTCCGAAAAGGTCAAGGGTTTTGCGAATCGGACGTCTTTAATCAATAAATATTATAATAAAAATAGAAGAGGGCCGGCAGGTTTATGGTTATAGAAACTTTCCTTCTAAATACCGAGTCCCTCTGAAAATGATTAATTTTCAAGTGACTTTTCGAAATAGGATATTAATGTTCATTATTTCCCGAACTGTACTTTACATTATATACTTTACTTTCAATTAAAAAGTAAAAAGGTATAGAAAACTGGGCAAAAAAATAGTAGAAATTCCTTTGCTTCAATGAAAATAATAAAATGTAAATAAAAAAAATTACATTGCATTTTCGCACAAACGCTCATCCAATTTACATAACTCTTTATATTCAAATTTGAGTTCTCACTGACTTTTCTTTACTTCCTGAGCGCAAGCTTTTTCGACGTTTCATGAGCCTTAGAGTACGAAAAAATAAGGCTCCCGTTTCCGTCCGGGGACCGATTGTTGTTAAATGTTATATGTGTATTAAGAACATCGTGTAGATGGTAAAACGCCAACCAAAATTTACATTAGTGAATAATATTTCAATTTTATAAAATAAGATAATCCTACAAATGTGCTTTATGAATTTGTATTGAGTTTATATTCTAGACATATATTTTGGAAAAAAAATCAAAATTGTATAAACAACATTCTGGAATTTAACTTTGAAATTGTAAAACCGAATATTCTGAAATATTGCGAACGTTTTAAAGTTACTGTAAACATGGCAACTAGTTAACCAACATTTTTTTATTCGTTTATCCCCTAACAAAAAACTGATGACGTCATCTCAAAATTTTTCCTAGTAAATCTTCTCTGAAATATGCAAAATATTATGCCTCTTATAATTGCGATTTAGCAATGATTTTAGGATTATTTATACAGGATGACTAAAAAAAAATAAATGAGGCAATTTACTGTATTGATTAAAATCAAAAACGAATCACTCCATTTTCCAAAAAATTTGGGAATTGAGTACTGTTATTACTATTATTAGTATTGCACTGCATCCATCCAATTTGATTTAATGTAATGTTACATATACATATCTTTATTTTAACTTATCTTATAATGCTTATCATAACAAAATAAAATTCGCAAAATCAAAATTTATAATTTTTCGAAAAATCTGGATCTAGTTACCTTGCACCAATTTTTTTGTATCACAATTTTTCAACGTTTCGGTTTTATAATTTTTGGTTTTTTCCACTTTAATTTATTCAATTTTTCGATATTAGGTACAATAAAACAAATTACAAATTTTTCGATTTTTTAGTTTCCCCATTTTTATTTTTTGTTTCCACATTTTTCAAGTCCTTGGTTTTTATGTTTCATTTTCCCGATGTTTTAATTTTAATTTTCTCAATTTTGCCACAGTTTTTCGTTTATTCGTTTCTTTTATTTGTCAACGTTTCTTTCGATTTTATAATTCTTCAAATTTTCAATTTCACAAATTTTGGATTTCTCAATTATCCGATTTTCCGATTCCTTTAATATTCAATATTTCGATTTTACACTTATTTCATTTTTTTAATTTTGCACTTTTTCGATTTTGAGGTTTTCATTTTATGTGTTTTCGTAATTTCATTTTCGATTTTTCAATTTCACAATTTTGCAGTTTTTCCACTTTTTGTTTCGAAAGGTTAAAAAATTGAAAAATTGCAAGATCGAAAAACGGGAAACAAGAAAAAACGTATCGAATCAAAAAATTGGAAAACCCAAAAATTTTAAAATCGGGAAATTATAGCATCGTCAAAATTGTAAACTCGAACAACACTTGAACACTGTAACACTGAAAAATTGAAAAATTAAATACCGAGAAATTCAAAAATAGAAAAATCAAATAAATCAAAAATTCAATAATTGGAAAATTCGAAAATCGTAAAATTGAAAAAGTGAAACATTTTAAAAATTATAATTATTATTATCCTACATATTATTTTTAAAATGAAAACTAAAAAAATTGCATATCAAAAAGTGAAGAAACGAAAGATTAGAAATTCTGAAAGTTGAAAAACCGAAAAATTGAAAAATACGAAAATTTCATTAAAAAAAAAATTATAAAAAGAGAACTTTGAACAACCGAAAAAATGCAAAAATAAAGAAAATAAAAGACCGAAACGAAAAATCGCAAAATGGTGAAAATGCAAATCGAAAAATTGCAAAATCTAAAAATTGAAACATCCAAAATTTGGAAAAACTGAAAAATTTTTTCGAAGAGATACATGTCCTAAAATTGAAAAAATTAAAAAATTATAAAATCTGAACATTGAAAAATCGAAAAATTGTAAACACTAAGTAAATAAAAACAGAAACGAGCAATTGCAAATCAAAAATTTGAAAAACTGTAAAATGAACGAAAAGAAAAATTGAAATATTAAAAATTGAAAACTCGAGAAATTTTAAGCCAAAAAATTGCAAAATCTAAAAATTCAAGTTAGAAAACTGAAAAACTGATAAATGTAAGCTTGGAAACTCGAAAAATGGCAAATCGAAAATCTGAGGAAATTAAAAAATTAAAAATTGAAAAATTCAAGTTAAAAAAGCCGCGGGAGTGTTATTTACGCCACTGGTTTTAGCTTCATAGAAGTTATTCAAAAAACAAAAATCGTAAAGTTTTAAAAATTTTTCAAAGGGGCGGGATTTGTTGAGTTGTATATCAGGAGCAAGGGAAGTCCTGTCGGAATAATCTTCGATCAATTTCTTTAAATTGTAGCCTATTTTTGTGAAATGGCAGTCTACTTTTTCAGAAATGAAAAGACCAGATCAAGTTATACATAGAGTCGAATTTTGAAATAGAAAAATGACGTAATACCTTGAACAATGGGATGAGTGTTTTTAAAAAATATCTTTTTTTTTTCAATGTTTTTTTATTGTTTGTGAAAAGTTATATTAGCAACAGGATTTTTAGACGTTTATAATCAAAGTTTTTTGCTCCAACAGAAAAATATTGATGTTGTGCTACATATATATTATATACATATAATGTACCATGCGGAAAATAAAGCCGACCTTCGAGTTTTTTTTTTTGTAATTGTAAAATTTCATTCCTCATTTATGTTTACTCACTTTATTCCAGGCTGAACACACTTTACCCTTTAGAAAAAAATCTCAAGAATCTCCAAAAAATACAATGTTTTGCAAGCAGTATCGATATGTTCCAAACCCTACTACATCGCACTTTAAGCGACGTGCGGTGAATTTCATGACCTTGGATGGAAGATATAATAGTGTATATGTCTAGACCAGGGAACGAAGTGTGGAGTAATTCAGACGAGCGTGAAGTACAGTCGCAACATGAAAATATTAGACTTACGTTTGAGACGCTATCAACAGGCACTATATAAACAACAGCTAGTAAAACAAAATAAACCTTGGTTTTGACCCCCATCTAACTTTGCCTCTTCTACACAACTGGTAAATAAATAATAGGTGTAAAAAAAACACATAATTAATTTACGTTTGTAAAATCATGGTGACCACAAAGTGACAAAGAACCTTTCTTGTCGTACCAAAAATGTCAAATTGAACTTTTCTTGTTACTGCCATCTACTCTCTGTAACCAGTTTCCGACTTTTTTGTGCGTGTATTTCAAAAACACCCTGTATTACTTGACTAAGCAAAAATCAATAATTAGCATCGGGTTACTTAAAAAACAATATACCACCTCAATAAGCCGAAAATGCCATTTGATTTATTTTAACTAACTCCAAAACAAAAATAAAATTAATCCCAAGAGAGCAATAAAACCACGATCAAAGGCAACCATGAATTTTTGAAAATTTGTGTTTTATAGAATTTTCCTCTTGTGAGATTAGTATCAATTTGAAAGTTTGAGTGGAAAATGCAATGATCAAAGACAAACTTTCAAAAATTCACGGCTGTCTTTAACGGTGTTTTTTTTTGTTCTCTCGGTATAATACCTCTACGTTGTGTTTTTTACCAATTAGTAATTACGACGAATGTGAAAACACCTAAAATTAAAAGATAACCGTATTTTTTTACCACAAATTGCGTGCACAAGGTTAACACGAATGACTTATGATCTTATTAAACTACAGATAAAGAACACATTTCAATGTCATACTATTTTTGCTGAGAATGTAGACAAATTTTGACTAGTGCTAACCTTAAAGTACACTTTTTCGAAGTAATTGATGCGTTAGTGTCTCGAACATTGTGTATCCGATGCACCGCCAACAACTGAACACACACATTGTAACCAACAGATGCAACATAAAAACACGTCAAATAAGGCATCAATCAAAATCACGCAATTGCAATACTTCCCGTTCCCTATTCCAGAAATATATTTCCACATCCGATACACTTTTTTCTAAAAGATTGCACTTGTAAATGAAAACTAATTGTCGTTAAAGTGGCATCAGTTGCGCCAATGAACGAAATTACCATTAATCAATCAATGGCG